GTCTCTGTATATTTTTGGTTAATGTTTCCTGAGACTATCTCGTGGATTCTGTGCTTCCCACTGAGGTCTGACCTCCCCCTGTTTTTGAGTCTGCAGGTAAAGAGAAGGAGACGAGAGGTGAGGTGTGCGGGAAGGAGGTGTGCCGACGAAGCACCTTTACCAGAGGCCCGCTGAGGCTTCCAATCTCGCTGTCAAAGGAAGCCCTCAGGTTTACTCCGGCCCAATACTGCTCAGCATCTGAATTTAGGCTTGTGGGAAGCACAGTGTCTCTCGTCTCTTATTGTTCTCTTTACCCATAGACTCAGAAGCACCAGGGCTAAACTTCAATGGGAAACATAAAATCCATCACTATTCCTATCCAACGGTGACCGGAAGGCTGGGGAGGGGACCAAAAATTGGGTCCACAGAGGCATGTCACACAGGACATGCATGTCGCAGGTCGCATGTTGCGCACTACATGTCATTACTCTTGTTATGTGCCTGAGTCAGACCAACTCACAGCCGACCTTCCAGCTGGTTTCCAGAGGCAGGAAATCACATGCAAGGAGATTACCCACGTTTCTCCCGCAAAGCTACTGGTAGATTCGAACCACATGCCTTTGGATTAACAGTGAAACTCCTTACCACGAGGTCACCAGAGCTATACAGCACATGCTCTCTAGTTATTGTTGCTGTATACCATCGAGTCGGAACCGACCCATAGCTGACCCTCCAGCGGATTTTCAGAAGCAGTTAACGGCACAGGAAGAGACTGCCCATCCTTCTTCCATGGAGCAGCTGGGGGCCTTGAACCGCGTGCCTTTGGGATTGTAGTACAGCTGCTTGGTACTAGGCCGCCAGAGCTCCCTATCTAGTTATTATGAACACATGTAGTTGTATAAGGAGCCCTAGTGGCACAGTTGGTAAGGGCTCAGATGTTAACCAAAAGGTCAGTGGTTTGAACCCACCAGCCGTTCTGCAGGAAAAAGGCTGGGTGACGTGCTTCTATAAAGGTCACAGCCTAGATAGTGCTGGGGTGTCATTGAGTTTGCAGATTATACAGCTGTTTTTATGCCTACTTGCTGATAAGATCTGACCTAATAAAACTTTGTTTGTGTGACAGGCGGGGGGAAAAAAAGGAAAGATTCTCATCTGATCTAGGAAGTCCTATGTAGCACCTGTACTGTGTCACAGGAGGGAGCTAGAAGTTGAAACTGACTGCATGCCACCTAACAACACAGCAACAGAGTCATATCTCATATAGAGTTCTCTAGATGATATAAAGTTATTGAGTTCTTTAAGCCATATTCAAGAAATGTAAAGGTCACTGCCCATTTTAGTTCACACGTGGCCATTTGAGGTGCTATTTCAACAGCTGGGAAGGTTTGAATAAGCATAGCGTGATTGTGTAAGAAAGTGTCCTCGTTCTGATGAGACAGAAGCTGGGAGATTTCGGGGGAAGCGCAACTAACTCGCCAATGGGAGTGGGGGGCAGCATTTGTCGGTAGACACACTCATGATTAGAGAGGTAAACTGCTATTTGTTGTACTATTCTGGCAACTTGTGTTGACGTGAAAAATTTTTTTTTTTTAATCTCCAGGGAGGAGATATGACTTGACGTGACTATTCAAGAAAAACCTACTTCCAGGTAAAACGGGGCATAAGAATAAAAATGCTAGCCAGCCTTTGAAATCATGATTAAAATGCATTGCCAAAAATAGAACATTTTTGTCTAAAGCTTTGCACCGAATACAAAATGCCCATCCAACCTGGGAGTTAATACACAACTTACATACCAAAGTCAAATGATCTGTAATAAACGAAAGAAGATCCTACACAGGATGGTATGATAAACAGGCTAGGTGGGTACGCTTGGAAGAGACATTAAGATTCCACTTCTGTTCTCCCATTAAATAAGGCCTCAGAGTCTTATTTACTTACTTATTTTGTGCGTTTGATTTTAGTAAGGGTGGGAGTTGACAGCAAATGTGAGTGTCACTCCACAATTCACACATATTTTGTTTCACGGCATTGTCTATAGTCCTCACACTGTCGCATCACTCTCCCCACGTTCCTGGACTCCTCATTTCCATTCATCATTCCTGCCTGCCTCTTCCTGCTGCCTGAGTGCTGTTTTGAGGCAAAGGCTGTCCTTGAGTCTGGTCGATTTTACGGAGAAGAACATTCCTCCCTGATGTTATTATTCGCCTTACTCACTTTAAAGGCTGGTCTGTTATTGGCCTGGAAGCTGATCCCTGGGGGTGGTTTCAGGTCCAGCTTCGCCCGAGAACTATAGTACTGAAGACAAAGAGAATCTAATGGTCCATATGCAATTTGTAGGTAATGTAGTGAAAGGCCAGAGAAAATTAGACAAGTGTAGAAGCGAACAAGTAAATACAAGCTGCTGAGTGCTTTGAAACTCGATCTGGAAGCCCTTTGGAGACGGTACAATCTGTTTTAGAGCAAATGATCCCTGGAAATGTCCTCGTTCTTTCAGAGTTCTTTCCAATAGAATTAACCTTAGTCTCTAAATCTAAATCACAGCAATTCCAAAAAGTTTAATGTTTTTCCAACTGAATAGGAGGTGTATTTTTCAAGACACTTTTAGAATGTTTAACAAAATCTATTCACTAAGAAAACAGGAACAAGAAATAAGTAGACATGGAAGCAATAAATAATAAAGAGAGTGGAAATTGACTTAGTTACTAGGTAATCTCGCTGGTGGCCTAATACATAGAGAGTCGTGCTGCCAACCCAAAGGGAAGCAGTTCGAATCCACCAGCCACCGCTCAGGAGAAAGATGGGCAATCTCCTTTCATGCCTCTGAAAACTCCCTGGAGGGTTGCCACCTTGCGGGGACACAACAATAACAATCTTGTTCCGCTACTGAGTGATGAGCATTTTCTTCTTCATCCTTGAACCTGATGTCATTCTAATCAAATCATTCGTCTCCTCATTCATTCCCCCCCCCAGTCAACTCTCTAAGCACCTACAAAATAGTATTAAAAGAAATACCAGTGTCACCCTTCAAGCATGGAACAAAACTCACTTCTATGGTTTAACTTTTAGCTAAATAACAGGCCTATCAGGTGAATGAGCTCTGGTGGCCTAGTGGTAAGGAACTGTGCTGTCAGTGCAAAGGTACATGGTTCAAATCCACCAGCTGCTCTCCAAGAGAAAGATGGACCATCTCCTCCCATGCAATTCACTGGCTTTAAAAACCCTCTGCAGGGTCAGCTTGGGGTTGGTTCCAACTAGACGGTATACAGCCACCACACCATCGGGTGAATAATAACACCATGCAGACACTCACTCCTTCGAATAACCAACCATAATAAGGTCCAAAGGAGCAGTATTTTCCTTGGGATAAATCCAAGAAGACAAGAAGGGGCAGACTAGATGGGAGTGGAAATAAGAATCACACGACGAAAGCAGGAAGAATGCTGTTACAAAATGGAGATAGGAATTAATAATAAAATGTGTGTGAATGACAAACGCAAACATTTTTTAAAACAAAGAAATACAGCGAGAATGCTCCTTAGAGGCAAGGATGGCTTGCTTACTTTGACTTTAAATATGTCATCAGGAAAGACCAACCAGTAGAAATGGTCAGGGTGTTTGGAGGAGGGTCCTGTCGATGAGATGGACTGACACTCTGCTCACAGTAATGGTGTCAAAGAAACCAACAACCTTTGCAGGGGACTACACGATGCCTCATCCTATTACAAATAAGGCCGCTATGAGCCGAAGCTGCTGAAGGGCAACCAGCACTATGGACCCCATTTCAATGGCCACACTGCAATTTTTTAAAGCTAGAGGATTCTGGTCCTTCAATCATAGCACTTTGTTTTCCAATATGAAAAGGTTGGGGTGGATTGTTTGGGTTTTTTTTCCCTCTCCAATCCTAAACATGTGGCTCAATTAAAGAAACAAACCAATGTATTTCAGCTAAACTTCAGATTTCCAAATTGTGGACTGTGCACAAATACCAGAATTCTGCACTGGACAGAGAAGACAGTCTACGGGGGGACAGAAAGGCAAAGCTGATGCCGAGGACTCTGGACCATTAAGCAACTGTTGAGGTGTCACCTCATTGGATCTTGCCCTTAATTAGGAATTATCTTGAGGCTCCTGCAGTCTTAAGTGTGGGTTTCAAAAACTCATTAATAATTACCCTGAAAGGGCAAGCAAAAGGAGAATTTCATCATCAAGGTGGTGTGTCTAGAAAGACTATAAAAGGCAGCTGGTCCAGCTTCTCCCTGCACATTCCTGTCTCTGAGCTGCTTCCCTGTTGGGCAACCAGGTACGTGTGCTTTCACTCCTGCCTAGAGCGCCTTCTGCCTGTAGTGACGCTGGCTTCCTTTAAGGCTGCAGGGACAGTTGATGGTCTGTGAGGAAGTGTGTGCCATCTAAAAATAATCTGTCTCATTTAGACACTAGAAGCTGGGGCCAAGTGTTCCTCAAGACCACAGCCTACAGAATCTAGACCAGGTGCCTGGGAAGGGAAGAATGCCACTAAGTTACTAATCAGGGCGTTCAGTGTGGATGCTAAGAATAGGCATTTAACACACTATCGAAGATCATTATCTTTTAAACAAGTTTACAGCAAAAATGGGCATTAACGGACAAACTGGTGAGATTCACAGAAGGTCTGTTTCGTTAGCAACATGGTAACAATGTTCATTTCCTGATTTTATAATTTTGATAAGTGTACTATGTTATCAAGGGAAAAGCTGGGTGAAGGATATATGTGAATTGTGACTAAGTTTTAGAACTTGTTTTTCCAAGTCTGATATTATTTTGAAATAAAAGGAGGAGGAAGTTGGTAGTGACTGGTGCAGTGGCCTGCCTCAATGAGTCTCTGTGCTGACCCCCACTTCTTCCCTTCCCATTTTTAGTCTCCCCACCTTCGCTAAAGAAACAGCCCAATGACACTCAAAGTCTACTGGGCACCCTCAGTATGAAGTTCCGGGTCAGCTCTTCAGTCAATCCATTTCCTTCTCCATCTACAGGACATCAAAATGAGTGCAAAGAAGTCTCCTGCAGAACTGAAGGGCATTTTCGAAAAGTATGCAGCCAAAGAAGGAGACCCAGACCAGCTGTCAAAAGAGGAGTTGAAGCAACTGATTGAGAAGGAATTCCCCAGTTTACTCAAAGTGAGTATAAAAAAAAGGGAGAAGAAAGAAAACCAACTAGTTGCCACGGAGTTCATTCTATTCATGGTGATTTCATGGGTACTGGAGTAGAGCTGGGCTCCATAGGGTTTTCAGTGGCTGATGTTTGTTCAGAAATAAGATTGCCAGGCCTTTCTTCTGAGATACCTCAGAATAAAGCCCAACCTCCTACCTCTCAGGCAACAGCATTATGTGCTACCCACAGCACTCCCCAGGGATTCAAAGTGAGTGGCAAGTGAGCTTAACCAGACCCTTGACGGTAGCAGAGGGCTACCAGCAGAAATTCTAAAACAGCAGAAATTCTAAAAAGCCTGTGGTTCTAAACAGAGCTTCAGCTAAGGCAGCAAGACAAAGATATCCCTTGAGGGAGGGCAGCTGGATATGTACAATCTTCATCTGGTGTCAGGCGACAGTTGAGGGCAAATTCTCTGAAGACAGAAGCCACGTCTTCTAGACAGGGCCAGCACTACACCTTCCCTGAGCAGCCATATTGGCCATATGTCCTCAGTCCACTGACCACCTCGAGGCCTGCAAGGTGCCAAGTGCACCACGAGGCCTCAAGCCGGGATCCAGCTCTCCGTGCTAGGCAGCAGAAAAGCAAGGAGGATCACAGGATAATGTCAGCCTGGCACATACTTCATTTGGGGTGGGGAGCATCCCTAAACAAAACCAACACTCAACAGTCTGTTCTGAAAACCAGCTGTAGTGCTGACACAACGTTCTCAGTGGGCCCTGTTCATTTCAGAAGTCTTTCCGTGTGAGTTTGTTTCTGCTCAGCACTTAAATTTGGGTTAATAAGGCAGTCACGCATTGCTAACCAACTTTCAGGAAAGGACTAAAAATGCATCCTCGGCTCTAGGATGTTTTCTTCCGTTTGCAACTAAAAAACGCTCTTCACAATGGAAGAACTGTGCGATTGTTACATCCGACTGTGACACTGTTTAAGTGCCAACTTCTGATGAAAGCAGTTGCTTCAAGTGTCCTTGTCTTCCAGAATTTAACCAGAAATGTCCCTTCTGCCAATCTGACAGCTGGGATGCTTTCTGTTTTTAACGCTACAAAGAAAAGCACCCGAATTCAATTCCTTTATAATCTGATTTTTTTTTCTCATTTTATGATGATTGGAACAGAAAATAACTTTGAAAAAAATTTAGAAGTGATGGGGGGGAATATTCTTCTTAATTTAAAATAAAAATACCAGGGTTTAGGGTGGTTTTGAGAAATAATAAATGCTAAAGATTGGATCATTTCCCTATTATGCATTTCCTGTGTAAGATTTAAATTTTTTAAAAAGGTAAGAACACTTACTTATCCATTCCTGTCATAACTTTGTAGGTTTTTCCCCCTCTTTTTCTCTGTGGTATCAAATCTGAACCAACTCATAGGTGACCCTACAGTTGATTTTCAGAGGCGGTAAATCACATGGGGAGAGGGACCACATGGGAGAAGATTGCCTATCTTTTCCCCCTTAGAGCAGCTGGTGGATTTGAACTGCCTTTCTTTGGGTTGGCAGCACAACTCCCAACCACTAGGCCACCAGAACTCCTTTCGTATGGTTTAGGATCTAGGAAATGCGTTGGGAGGACAGATGTTTGGGATTTATAAAACAGATGCTAAACAACTAACTTACTGTAAGTTTTGTGATCCTGGCCAAAGACCAAGTCTCTCTGGAGGGCCCTTAGGGGTGAAAATACATCTTGCTGATCTAATTTGAAACTGACTTCTCAACTAAACTGTTTGTGAGCCAGAGCTGTAACAGCTTGGAGATTTATTCGGGCTTGATGGCAGAGACGAAAATGAAGTTTGCTTAAGCATCCGGGTCCCAGGGTGGCACAGACAGCTCTCAGCTACTGATGTAAGTGCAGGCAGGCCCAGGTTATGAACAAGCTCAATTCCTAAGTGCATCTCCAAGTCAAGTTTATCAGAACACACACATATGGTTCTTATTTCGCCTTACTTTAGTACAAGAAAAAGGAGCTCTGGTGATGCAGTGGTTTATGCACTAGGTTGCTGACCAGCCACTTCAACAGGGAAAGATCCAACAGTCCCCATCCAGAAAGACTGACAGCTTTGGAGCCCCTGTATATCTATGGGCAGCTCTACCTTCTCCTCCAAGTCAGCATCAACTCAGGGGCTGTGACTTCAGTCTGGGCCTGGAGGGATTGGATCAATTGCTTCCAAGTAAAGGCAAATTCACTTAACATTAAAGGACAAGAGTGAATTGTCTGTAAGTTGGATGTTCATATCTGGGGAACGTCCTGTACTACAACCTAAAGGGTGGCAGTTCAAACCTCCCGGCAGCACCACAGAAGAAAAGATCTGGCAACCTGCTTCTATAAAGATTACAGCCAAAAAAAGCCTATGAGGACCAAGTGGCTGTACTGTGGAACACAGGGGCACCACGAGTCAGAATCGGCTTGACTGCAGCAGATGGGTGGGGTTTCTGGTGCTGCGCTGTTAACAATGATCACAGTATCTGAACCTAAGGTTTTATTTGAACAGCTACTCTATATGCACACAGGGAGACCATTCTGATTCCTAGGGGAAATGGTTGGGAAGAGCCAGGTCTTTTTCCTGCAGAGAAGCTGGTGGGTTCAAATGACCTGCCTTTGGATGGCAGCACAGTTCACAGCCCACCAGAGCCCTCCTTAGCGAGAAGGGGAAGAAAAGAAGACCACCCATTGGCTAAGCTTAACATACTGACTGAAGCCTGCCTCCCCCTCTGCCTGAACCCCACTGATATCAGACTCCACATGGGCTCCACACCTCCCAACCACCGCTTTTGAAATTCAAATTCTGCCAGCCAGGCTTCCCATGAACAGGAAAAGAAAGGGTCTGACAACGGCAGGTGAAAGTAAAAACGGTGGCAGGATTCACTCTGGTCAGAAATGTGCTTAGCGTGAATATTCAGATTTTCATAAGGAAACGCTAAAATCAAAGCAAGAGATGGGCTCCCAAGCTCACTTTGATTCATCTTCTCTCCTCCATCCCATTCTCTTTGTCTCAAACCAGGGCCCAAGCAGTCTCAACGACCTCTTTCAAGAACTCGACAAGAATGGAGACGGAGAGATTAGTTTTGATGAATTCCTGGAGGTAGTAAAAAAGGTAGCCCAGTGAAGAGAGATCCAGTCACCGAACCGTGAGCAGTGAAAGAGCAGCCTCAGAGGGTGCCCCGCCCTCCTCAGAACCCCAAGTTCACTTCCTCACAACTACTATGATCTGACTGACCCCCAGCCAGTGTTAATAAAGAAATTCTCAGGCATGCCTCATTTTGTCAAAGGCTGACCCTCAGGGCTTACTCAAAACAACCTTAATAAATGTAACTCACTTTATCATTTTTTTTTCAATGGGTTCCCAGAATATTCCATGGTCTTGTCCAAGAATGCTGGTTCCTGTTCCCATCAGGAACGTGGAGAGAGTTCTGCAGTGTCAAACCCAGTCCGCCAGGGACTCTCCCACCAGAATAACCCTGCTCCTGGCTCCTTGCTCACCTCCTCTTCAGAGCTCTCAGCTCGCTCTTGACGCTATTCAAAGGCTGGTGAGAAACACTTCAAAAAATAGACGCTTGTCTGTAAAATGGCTCCCGGTACAAGTCGTGCTTTCTGAACGAATGACCCACACAGGAATAGAAGGAATACAGGACCAAGAGCTGGGGTTCCACTCCACCTTTGGGGTAAAAAGGGGTGCCTCTGGCAGGTCTCCCAGCCTAGCCCTTCAAGATCCTGTTTGGTAGGTGACATGTGAAGTCAAGGCATTAAGACAGATGGGTCCTCCAGTTCTGCTCACCTACACTCCTGAGACTGCCTAGCTGAGAACGCCAACTGTCTAGTTCCACATACTGAGTACAGTTCTGGGGTGCGCAGGAGAAGGAGGGTAACTATTTTTGCCATTACCTGAAAGAGTTAAACAAAGCAAAGTTCAAGGGAGTTCAAGTCACTAATGTGCCTGGAGGATTCTGATCTGACCCTCCTCCCAAAAGCTGACAATCAATGGCTGCAAAACACCATGTAAAGTTCATGAACCTCAAGTGTATCTTAGCTATATCTGCCAATATGGCTGCCACGGTTTCCCCAGTGGCCTGAAGCACATTCCCAAAGGGGACACACACACACACATACACACACCCCAGCCCAGGATAAAAAGAAACAAAACAGTTGCTTTTGAGAAGCTCGTGGGCCAGCACAGAACCACAGTGCATGGAGGCTTCGGAGGCTGCCTCTTCCCTTTGGTGACCTGGGGACACGCACACGCACACGTCCATCCTTTTGGTTGCAGCAGAGACCTAACCAATCGCACCAACCAGGGCCTGGACCTAACGGGAAGGGCTGTCTGTTAGAGAGCTGGACTGAGCTAGATGCCATCTCTGAGGAGTTCAATCTCAGAGGTTGGAAGAATCCCTAACACTGGTCTGAGCACAAGATGAAGCAGGGGTGGTGGAGGCGGAGGTGGGGGTCAGTGCGTGCGTGGGGCAGGGAGCTGGCTATATATCTGAATTCATGCGAACGTGCACTGGAACATCTCTAGACGAACACACAAGACGCTAATAACATCAGTAGAAACCGTTATGAGCTCTGTCACTAACAGAAAAGTGAGTAGATTTACGCCCATCTGGCGAGAAAAAGCTTATGATCTGCTCCTGTAGAGATTCAAAATTCAAACTCACTGCTGTCTAGTCAGACCAGCTCCTAGCTGACCCTCCGGTGGGTTTTCAGAGGCTGTAAATGGCACAGGAGATTTAATCCACCACCAGAGAGGCACTACCTTTGAGTCTGCAGTGCAACTCCCTATGGGTGCTTAGAAACCTATGGGACAGCTCGCCTCTGCCACACGGAGCTGCTCCGAGTTGGCTATGGCTAAGTAACATATCACGAAAGGATCACGAGTCAAGGAGGACCAGACACTTCACCTTACACTCTCTGTATATTTGGCTTTTGAACCATGTCAGTATGTGTCCTAATAAACTATACAAATGACAGACTTAAAGGAAAAGAAACCGCTTTTAAATACCATGTTGCTTTTCATGATAAGCTTCTCTGCCTGCTCTTATTTAAAAGAGAAAATAGAGCTGACTACCTTGGAGAGGAGACTGTCAATATTGAGATTTGAGACAAAGGGCATAATTATAGAGGTTCCCCTAAGAGTAAAATGGCATTCATCAGACCCTATTTCACACATTCAGAAACTTAATCAGGGAAAAAAGAGAAATACTTTTAATATTTCCATCAAGAAAAAGAAGATTTGCATACCCTATTGAGGGAACACTCAGATATTACTGTATCCCAGTCTAAGTCAATGGTGAATGTTCTCAAGGCATGGAAACCCTTAAACATTTCCAATGACTTAGTGGAAGGATTTTCTAATAGTTTTAACCATTTTCTTGCTTTGAGGCATTCAGATAGCTGTCATTTCTGACTCTTTCCAACAATATGACAATGAGGTCTCCTCTGACATTTCAGATACCTCCAGGAGGATTTCTGAGAAGCAAACAACTGTATCAGAGGGAATGAACACTTATGGTTTATGAACATACAACCTAACTGAACTCCCAAAAGGTGCTGTCAGCTATGAGTCAGTTCTGATTCAATGGCATTTCACAACTATACATATACAGGAAAAGGAAATACAAAGCCCCACTCCCCAGACAGGGCTGGGGTTTTCTCCTTTTGCCACAGTGACCCCACGTGTCAGAGCAGAACTATGCCCCACAGGGTTTTCAGTGGTTGATTTTTTATTTTCAGAAGCAGATAGCCAGGACTTTTTTCCAAAGTGCCTTTGTGCACTCTTGAACTTCCAACCTTTTGGTTGGCAGCCAAGTATATTAACCATTTGTAACACTCAGAGACTCCCAGCTAACATTAGGCAGTCTAATTTTAAAACTTCATTAGTCAACATTTAATATTCTCAATTAACAGCTTTCATCTGTCTCTGACTTGAACAAGAATCCTCCACTATTTTTTCATTAAATTTACTGTTGGCTATTGGTTCAGATACTCCTTCTCCAATTTAGGAGTGTCCCTTATCTTCCTAGTTTGAGGATTGTCCACACCAGGGTCTGGGTCCTGTAAACTGCTAACTGCCCATCTACTGTGATACAAGATTTCTTATTTTGCTCAAATAGCCTGAAGTGCTCACCGGTTTAAATCCTAGAATAAACATACTATCCAGTCCTGACGAGCTCTTTTTTAATGCTGTCAAATTAGACATGTGAATATCTCATTTAAGGAGGGGTTTTTGCATACTGATTAAGTGCTAATCTGCTAACTGAAATAACTTGGTGGTTTGAACCCACGCAAAGGGGCTCCAGGGAGACTGATTTGGTGATCTATTCCCATAAAGATGGGGAGGAACCCAAACCAAAACAAAAAACCATGGAAAACAAACCCCTGCCATCGAGTCAGTTCCAACTCCCAGCAGCCCTGTAGGAGAGAGGAGAGAACTGTCCCCCAGGGTTTCCAAGGTGCTTACTGGAGCAGACCGCATCAGCTTGCATGCCCAGAGCAGCTGACAGGTTTCAACGGACAACCTTTCAGCTAGCAGCTCAACACTTAATCCATTGTGCCACCAGGCCTCCTATGAGGTCTTTCTATTCTGTCTCCCAGGGGCACTCTGAATTGAAATTGACTGGACATAACTTAACAACAGTATTTTATTTAACATTTTCACATTTTTATTTCACTTTTTTCCTTAATCAGCATTTAGGGAGCTCTGGTGACTTAGCGGTAAGGAATTACATTGCCAATGCAAAGGTATGCAGTTCAAATCCATCAGCTGCTCACTCCTATGCTATTTACTGTGTCTAAAAACCCACTGGAGGCTCAGTTACAGGTTGGTTCCAACTCGACAGCACACGACCACCACAATCAGCATTGGTCTAGAGTTGCTGTCATGTTTACCTCATTCATACTAGCATCTCATCCAAGCTTGTGTTCTAGTTCTCAATCTGTTATCTACAGAGCAAATAGTAATCCTCTCAATGCCAACATATATAATAAAGCACCTACCATTGTCAGAAAAGCTACAGATTCCCAGACATTTAACACCTCAACCAAGGAGCTCTGCTAACCAGGGATTACATACTAAGGTGCTAACTGAAAGGTCAGTGGTTCAAATCCCCCAGCTGCTCCACAAGATAAAGATGTGACAATTTCCATAAAGATTACAATCTTAGAAGCCACATGGGTTCCACTCTGTCCTACAGGTTTTCTATGAGTCAGAATCAACTCGACAGTAATTGGCAATGTTGTTATTGTTATGTGTGGTCGAGTATGACTCACACTGACTCTCTAAAAATGAGACCTGAACCCTGTCCAGTCCTATGCCATCCTCATCACTTCTGACACACTTGAGCCCATTGCCGCAGTCACTGTGTTAATTCATCTCATTAAGAATCTTTCAGAGAGCTCTGGTGGCTTAGTGGCAAGAAGCTGTGCTATAATCCCAAAGGCACGTGGTTCGAATCCACCAGATGTTCCGCTGTAGAAGGAGGGGCAATCTCCTCCTGTGCCAGCCAGATCCAATTCAACGGCACACAAGAAAGAAAAAAAAAAGGATCTTTCTCTCTCTCACTGACCCTTCACCTTTCCAAACACGATGTCACTTTCCAAGGCCCCTCCTAAAAACATGCCAGAAGTATGTGAGAGGAAAATTCCCCAACCTTGCTTCTAAGGAACACTCTGGCTGCACTTTTTCCAAGACATATCTGTTCTTTTGGCAGTCCATGGGATAAGACCTTGATATCAGTGACCCTGGGATGAGACCAAGAAAAGGCTTAATGGAAGAAGTAGTATTCACACTTGGGTTTAGAGCACAGTGCAGGTCCATGAGCAGACATGCTGTGTCTTAGGTGGGAACTCAGCTATGAGGAATAGTGTGGGCACACCAGCTTCAGATTCTCAAAGTTACTGGCTGCTGTGCTAGAGTCAGGTGAAGGTCAGAATGTAGGGAGACAGGACCCAAAGCAGAAACCTGTACCACGAGGCTCACCACACTACAATTCCCAACAGTCAAAGGGTAGAAACAACAGAAGTGTCCAACAGAGGACTACTGATAGAACAGCAGACAGAATACTGTTGTTGCTGGTTTGTTGGTTTTTTTTTTGTTTGGTTTATTTTATTATT